GTTTTTGTTTTATGTTTACATTGGGCCCTTGATTTTACATTATTACATCATGTTCTACTCAACTATATAAGTTTTGTGTCATTTGGAGCTGTTCTGAAGATATTCTGTTAGGTTATATTAAGTAAGTAATAGTCTACCTATGGGCAACGACTTGAAGGCACAAACTAAACTGTTCATAATTTATCATTTATGGTACACAAGCATTCATAACATGTAGGCGAATCACTGTCCCCCAGACATCCGCGGTTATATTTTTAGATTAATATTTTTAAAAACAAAGTGCCACATGTATGACGTCATCCACGCATCAGACTGGAGTTGTGACAGGCAGCCCGGGCCACAGGCGGCTACGCTCTACCCCTTCTATTCATTCGGCTAGCTAATCTGAATCGTTCAATTCCATTAGAGAGAAAGACCATCTGTGGTAGTAGCACTAGACATCTTCCAGGCATGTGAGTAAAACTAGCAGCAGTTCAGCTGACAGGCTGAATGAATAGTAGCCGGCGCGGGCGATGATGTCATATCCGCGCAGCTTCATTTTTCTTAAAAAATATAACCGCAGATATCTGGGGAACAGTGATTCACCTACATGTTATGAAAGCTAGCGTACCATAAATGATAAATTATGAACAGTTTAGTTAGTGCCTTCAACTTGTTGCCCATATATGGAGACGATTAAGGCCACTGGGAAAAAAATTATTTTTAAATTTTATTTCAGTTTAATATGGGAAAAAAGTCAGAATTCTGTCTTTTTTCTCAGAATTCTGACTTTAATCTCAGAGTTCTGAATTTTTTTCTCAGAATTCTGACTTTAATCTTAGAATTTTGGACCTTAATGTAGATGGGCACCATAAAGGAAGAAATGTGGGAGCATTCGGCTTCACTGACAAAGATGTGAGTTGTTTGAGAGGGCGGTATGGCGGACGTGTCTGTGCTGCTCTGGCTTCGTCCGGTGGGGGAGCAGCGTGGTTCGCTCCGCTCTGGCTTTGTGCTGCCTGCGGACTGCTGGGGGGGTGATTGCGCCGGCTGCGGTCTGCTCTTCTTGCTTCTTCTCTGCTCTTCTCTGTGGGGCCGGAGCGTTTCGGTCGGTGCCGTGGGGGGGCTGGTGTTTTCGGTGCCCGGCCCTACTTCAGGGTGGCCGGCTGCCGGCGGAGCCCGCGGGGCTGTCTCTCCTCCTCCCTTGGTGGGGGTCTGATTTCCAGGGCTGGCCCCTCCTTGGTGCCTTCGCTCTTGGTGTCCCTTTGGGCGCCTGGGGCTTTGGGTCTCCCGGCGTTGGACTCAGTGCTCTGGGGGGTGTGCCTCTCCAGCTCTCCACAACCACTATTGAGCATTTTTTCTATGGATAAACTTTACATGCACAAGTTCACCCTCACAAACAATTACAGGTGCTTGGCTCTAGGTACTCAGAGATTCACTTCCATACAGAAACCCCACATTCA